GAGAGCGTGGTGATTTCAGCTGGTTACTAATCTTATATACAATCAGTGCCTGGTCCTTCTTGAAGATATAGCTATAACAATATCTGATCATTTACTTCAAAAATTTGTAATCAATCACCAACAAGTGCAAGGAGCTATTATTATCAACCTTGAATACATCAGGGAGATGTCTTACGACATTAATAAGCTGTCTAAAACAGTTGCTTTTAATGTTTCAAAACTAAATGGAGAACATAGGTGTCAGGATTTTCCCTGGGTTAGGTGAAAGCCTTGTCCAAGTGAAAGATTGATACCCCCGTTCAAGGGGAATTCATCCTGAACGGCTCAATATATTTGAGAATAAGAGTTGAAGCTATATTATCAACAAAGATTATCAAATTTGGGGCTTTTTATAAATTACTCCAAATTCAAGGAAATGTTACATCTCCATTCCTTGAGACATGTGACCTGGGATATCACTTGACCTAGTTACAAGGATGGCGAGATCTGAGTAAGGATCAGAACAGTGGACAATCCAGAAGGCCAGAAAAAACCCTACTTGGATGGGGCGATGATGATCCTTGAGGCACTTGTCCCCAAACACCCTATAAAGAACCCTTAATATTAGTCTAATAAAATACTTTTGTTCATAGATTTATTTTATCTTATATTTTTATTAAGTTTAATTTATTCAAATGGTCAGAGTCTCATCCATTGTTGTGTCCAGAGCTTCCCTCGTCCTCTCAGCTGGCCCTCGCCCTTGCAGTCATCCTACTTGTTGGGTTTCCCAGCATTAGCACCAGTGAGCGCATTTGGGGGAAACCTGACAACTGATGCTCACTACAGGGGGCTTCCAAGGCGCGCCCTGAGGTGTTACCCTCAACCTTGGATAATAATGAACCCACCATGAGCACGCCAGATGCCGATATTCTCACTTACCTCCAATGGAATGGCCAAGGTTCAATAACAGTTGGGTCCAAATTTCCAAGTAAATCCTTTGAGTGTGCCCCCCCCAAAGACTTCGTGCATTTCTGAGCTCCCAGTCAACTAAAACCTTTGTTGGACCTGTTAAAAATGCCTGAAGAATCTCAAAAAAGATGAATTTGAGCCAAAAACCAGCATCATAAAGAAAAAAGATTAATGAAGGCAAAAAATTTTTATGGGGACCAAGAATCGCATTTCAAGAGGATGTGGGATGCTAGGAGAGAAGAAGCCTTCAAAGACATCACCCAGCGGGATGACTATTAGATGCTAGGACCTGTCTACTAGGATGAAAGGGTCATGTTCAAAAACCTTTCAGCTTTGGGCAAAATTCAAAAGAAATTGGCCAAGCTACAACTCATCCTTCAGTTGAAAAATGAAAATCAAAATAATATGAGTGCTTAAATCTTAACTAAAATAACTAATTTTTATACTAACCCTAATATTTACTTAGATAATAAAAAAGAAAATCCTCCATTTGAAGTCAATTCCCACCCTGCTTCCTAGCAGAAAGTGGAAACAAAGCAATTAGCTGCTATGATCCCAAAAGTGCCATATGTCAAATCAAATGTGGCCAGCAAGCATTGACAACACCAAATTGATGAAGTTGGGACAAGTCAAGAACCAATTTCCAATCTCGATAAAAATGACAAGCTTCAAAAATTTCAGGAAGCCTAAAATACAATTGGTGTGACAATTTGATATAAACTCCAGAAAAAATACCTGGGACTTACCTTTTCACCATTTGGGATAATCTTGACAGCTCCTTTCTGACAATCCTACCACTTTCTAACTTCAATGGCGCCCTTCCTGATATTGGGCCAAATATTACTAAAATAATTAATCTAGATTACCTGGTTCAACTCTCAGATTGGAATAGCGCCAATCCCAACAAAAATAAGAGTAAAGAAAGAGCAAAGGTTGAGTAACTGGCTGACACTACTTTTGCTACTAATGCTGACCTTTTGGCCCACTTTGCATTACCCTCCTGAACCTTGTCACATGGTTCACTTTTGATCATGAGTGGGATTTGCTTTCCCTAATCCCAAGATGGTGGCTTGGCGTTGCTTGAAGAGGCCCCCTATCAGAACCTTCAGGGGGCCACACCCTACCATCACCTGCTCATTTTTTAAGCTTGTGAGGTCACTCACCCACGCTACCCACTGTTAACAACCTTTTCTCCAAACCTTGATTGAATCTGCTGGCGGATAAGGTGATTGCAAGATGCCAGGTTCAAATGGCAACCAAAATTAATTGTATTATTTAAGAGGCTGAACCCACATGACCAAGATGGCGCAGGAGGCATGAAAACAGATAGCACAGATGGAGGCAGAGTTGATGGTCTTCAAGTCAGAAATTATGCAGGAACAAAGGCTGCTGGTTGGCCTGCAGTCAGAAATCTGTGACAAGATCAACTGGATTGAAGCACTCACAATTTCAACTCACAGCTTAGGCTTGAGTTATTATACTCAAACAAATTACTTGAAACCAAACAGCAGCTTGAATCCAGCCACCTCAAAATATTAGATTTCTCAGACAGCAATGGATCATAGATTGAGGAACTTAAAACTACCTTTCCCAAAGAACAATCTGAGTCAACTATGAGGGCCTTAGCTGATGTTTTTGTCTGGCGTCAAACCCTAACCACACCAGGCACTATCACTGACCTGGTCTTCATTTTTCCTGAGGCTCCGTATGCCTCAAACTTGAGTCCTCTGACCCTCAGGCCACAACTTGCTCCCCTAGGCCAAGGATTGGAGGGGGCTCTGTCAGGATTTTCCCTGGGTTAGGTGAAATCCTTGTCCAGGGGAAGGATCGATACCCCCATTCAAGGGGCATATATCCTGAACAACTCAATAGATTCAAAAATGAGAGTCAAATCTATATTATTAACAAATATACCAAATTTGGGGCTTTGTATAAATTACTCCAAATTCATGGAAATGTTACGTCCTCATTCCTTGAGATATGTGACATGGGATATCACTTGACCTGGTCACGAGGGTGGCGAGATCTGAGTAAGGATCAGAACAGTGGGCAATCAAGAAGGCCAGGAGAAACCCTACTTGGATGGGGCTAAGACGATCCTTGAGGCGCGTGTCCCCAAATGCCCTATATAAATCCTGAATATTAATCTAATAAAATACTTTTGTTCATAGTGTTTAGTTTTATCTTATATTTTTATTAAATTTAATTTATTGAAATGATTGTAGTCACATCCAATGTTGCGTCTGGAGCCACCCCTGTCCTCTCAGCTGGCCCCTGCCCCTTGCAGTCAGCCTACTTGTTGAGTTCCCCAGCGTTAGCACCAGTGAGTGAATCTGGGGGAAACCTGATAATAGAATAAAGCTTACAATGAGATCTTGCACAGCACTGCTTCAGACTCTGTGCGTTTGTTTTCCTTGATAATCCTGGTGGCACTAACAGAACTTTTTTAATCATTTGTTGCCAGCTGCAGTAAGGAGCAAAAAACATTGCTATTGCAGTTAATTATTCAGTTATTGCAGCTAATTTACTTGATGGAGGCAAAACAGCTCACTCTTGCTTCAAGTTACCTCTCAACCTGAGTAATGATGAGTTTACACCTTGTAATATTTAAAAGAAAAGTGACATATCACAGGTGCTATGAGAGACCAAACTTATCAGTGTGAGATAAGTGCACTATTGCCCATAAGGGAGAAGTTGAGGCTCTGGACAGGATACTTCAGGATACTAGAAGCTGTAACTGTCTGATGGGGGGAGTGACAGTGAAGTTGTATGGTGACTTCATACAAACTTTACATGTAGTACCATGAGGGACATGTGCAGATGAAGTCAAGGCCTGATTAAATTATCCTTCTTATAGCTTATAGTCAAAGTTCTGTCCTTGATTAACACGCATGTCCACCTCCTAGAAAATTGAGAGCATATTAGTTTTACAAATTAGTTATTAGCTTTGGTGATGGAAAGATGTCTGAGGAAGATAAAAGTAAGTATATTTGCTAATCTTTGGAATATTGTAAGAGATCTGAACAGCTTAATTGGAAGAATATACCCCAAAATTTGTCAGAAAATGAGGTGATTGTACTTCTTGGTTAGGAGAAAGAGCTATTCTCACTTTTTCAAATGTCTAAGCTAATGGTATCAACAACGCTCTATTAGAGAATTTTCCAACTGAGAATATGAGGTATGAGTCAGTGGCCTCTGTGGTAAAGGTTGAGGGTGCTATACACTATCCTGAAGAGTTCTTTATACTCTTGACCCACCAGGGGTACCACCTCATGTCCTCTACTTTAAGGTTGACACTCTAATAATGCTACTGCGCAACCTTGACTCTCCAAAGTTGTGCAGTGGAACTAGGCTGCAGGTGAAGGCTTTGTTCAAGCATTTTATTGAAGCTATAAAATTTAAAAGCGTTGGCCAGGGAGAACTTGTCTTCATCACTTTCATTTCTATGATCTCATCAGACTACCACTTTCTGTTCAAACGTCTTAAGTTCCCAGTTAAGGTCTGCTATGCTATGTCTATTAACAAGGCACAGGGGCAGAGTTTGAAAGTGCTTGGCATAGATCTGAGGAGTGACTTTAATTTCATGGCCAGTTATATGTGATATTCTCTAGAGTCAGCTCCCCTGACAACCTGGTCATCCTCTAGCTGAGAGAAAAACCAGGACTGTGGTTTACAAGAAAGTCCTCAGTGCTTAACTGGAGATTAAAGATTTAGTAGTCAACTATTAAGAAAGTTAAATGACTGGCTATGTATATCCATATGCTAGGGGTGGAGATAGAAACAAAATCATTGGCTTAACTGCCAGACTATTATCAAACTTATATCTATAATTACCTATATATTTATTACTAAACATTAGTTGTATGTTTCTAAACATATCAATTATAATAAATTATCTAATGCACTCAGATTTTAAACAAATAAGCCTTTAAATTCAGATATAAGCTTTTCTAAATAGGCTTATTTAATATTATATTTATTTATTGTGAAATACCCATAGCAAAGCATAGGCAACTAGCTGTTTTGTAATATAAAATATAACTAACATTTTAAGTTTTCTTGGCGCAGTTAGCAGCACGTCAGTCTCATAAAATCTAAAGGTCGCCAGTTCGAACCTGGCTAAAGCGTCATACCAGCTCGATCTTTTCTTTTTACCTTTGTTTGGTATCTGAAGTTTCACAATTAAATAAAATCTCCCTCAACCTCATTTCCCATCTCATATGGTAGCTTAGGCTCACTGCCTCGCCTCTAAGTTTAGTTTTTTCTGTTTGATTTTGTACCAGTTAATTAAATTTATTGACTAGCCTTTATGGGTAGAGCCCCACTAGTAATAAAAATCGACTTGTTATATAGCACACTATATGGGCATGTTTATAGTCTTATAGACACTTTAACTTTCTATCAATACATTACTTACATTTTTCTTTAAGTTATCTACTAATCTGATTCATATATAGTTATTTAACTATCTACTTGGTGAAGAAGCACCATTAGATAAATAAGATAACCTGTTCATAGATAACATAATAGAAAGGGTATTAGCCTGGCAGGGTAATTCTTGCTTCCATCCTAGTGCAGGTTTTGTTCAATACAAGTTTGAAACCTGTACTTGCTAAAAATTCTCGGTGTGGTATATTTGTCTCAAGGTTGACCCACCTCAAGTTACTTTTAGATAACTAAATAGAATATTATGAAGTTATCTCTAATATTTTAACTATATTAAATTGTGGAAAAGACAGACTGTCCTTCCAAGCCATGCATTGGCTATGGTAACATGAACTATGTAAATATGTTCAATGCACACCATCTATCTTTCATAAGGACAAAAAAAAGCTAGTTAGAAAATTTGGTTTTTTAACTTGATAGATTAATTAGGAGGCATTTATTTCCATAGCATGCTAAAAATCATTTTTTCCAAAATTTCATAGACTCATATCAGGGTTTTAAATCTAAGACTATAAATTGATAGTATATACTTACTAGAGCCCAAATGGCCACAAAGCACTAGATTGCAGATTTTTAGTTAGCTAGTTGATTAATTAGTACAATGATATACTATATTTAGTGGACTTTAAATTCAGTTACTTCTATTGGCATTATGATTTTGTGTATTAGTTTGGTGGTCATTTATTGAGAATTTTTTGTTGATAGTTGATAGTTGCTTGACTGACCCAATTATATATAAAACTTACAAATTATCATATATTAATTAATTTACTTTAAAAATGATATAAGTGATGATTTTGGTGGTAGATTTTATTTAATTTGCTTTATTATTCTAATAACAAAGGGTGGTTAGCCGAGCGGGTAAAACTGCTTCCACCCCTAGTGCAGGTTTTGAGTTCGAAACCTGTACTGGCTAGAAAACTTTCTCGGTGTGCTGTATTTGTCCCAAGGTCGACCCACCTCGAATAATTTTTTGTTTAGATTATTCTAATAACAGTTGATTTTATTGAGGTCCCACGTTCATTAATTTCATACTATACCAAACTTAAAAAAGCCATCTTTATATTAAACTTACTGATAACCATCTACAATTGAGAATTTACAAATTATTTTTTTAATTTGCTTTAAATTTGATACATAATTTACATATATATATATATATATATATATATGTAAATTATGATTTGTTAATGATGAAATCATTATATATGATTTATTGTTTCATTTTATCGATATAATTTTGTAATTCAAATAGTTAATTCAAGAAAATACAACCACTCAGAAGAATAATTTTGACTTTTAAACTATGTGAAAGAGATAGCAGACTAGATAATTAGCTGAGTGATTTGATTTTTTATTTGATTTGAAGACAATTAACAACTGATTACCCAAAAAATGAGCCTATAAACTGCTTCAATTGGAAACATACATACTTTTATTATTGGTGACAAACTTTATTGTCGATCCACTGAACAAAAAATTGATAATACTGCTTTAGTTGACCTCAATAATTACAACGCCTAAAAATGGAAGACCCAATAAACGTTTTCATCTGATTAAGAGGTATATGTCAGATACCAGAGTATCAAACGTGATGAGAATATTATGCATCTATTGAATCCCATGAGATAATCAATGCTTAGACCTGAAAAGGGGTTAAAGAATTTTCACCAATTAAACATATAAAAATTGATAGTTGATAAGGCTCAACTTGTTACTAGATAAATTCCATTGCATCAACTTGAGCAAAATATTATAATAAATTAGATTAACTGAAGCAAACTTTAATCAAATGTCAAGCAGCCTCATATTAGGTGACATAAATGGCATTTAAATAAGATATACTCTCCAAAGGATAAGAATTTAGAATCAGATCAATGTTTGACCTAAGCGATACAAGTCTCATCTGATTTGGCTCATTTAAAATACATGTTCAACCTATTAGAAATATGCTACATTAGTTACTTAAATATGGATGCATCTACTGACCAAGAGCCTCTCATCCAGATCTCCCACTCCCTTAATTCCTTTAAAACTTTTCCTTATGGAGTTAATAATTTTATAGGTAAAATATAAAAATCTCTATTTTATATAAAAACCCAAGTTATACCATTTTGTCCATATCTTTTTAAAGTATTTTGGCTTCAATAGGTGCCTTTGCCGCTTTCACCATAGTAAGAATACTCTATTTGATGGGATATAAGCGTGACTTGGCAACTTAAAAATAAATACTTATGGAATTCTTAGACTTGAAACAAGTAAACTGTTGAGCTTCTAATGAATAGCATCATAGAGCTACAAAAACAGAAGTCCTAAAGCAGGTGGTCTCTACAGGGTCACAGCCATCACTTAATAATACCTGCAAATAAATGATTGCATCATGCAAGACAATCATATATTAGTGTAATTTAACTGGGTGCACAACAGAATTGTGAATAAGATGAGAAAATGGGAAGCCTGCTTATGGTCATATTTTTAGAAGTAAAAGAAAATCTAATGGGATCTTAGGATCTTGACGTATAACTTGGATTTCCAATAAAGTTATCTGAGACCTAATTTAAGGAGTCATAAACCCAGAAAATAAAGCCTTCCGTTGTGAACTATCTTGGTATGTTTGATGCACAGGTTTAAAAGTAAGTTGTAAGAAAAAAAATGATACTAGTTGTATGGAGAAAACTAGTCAAATGAGTATTATTTATAAGTAGCTTCAACCCCACTCAGGTATACTCTTACTATAGCTTGAGAAATCAACTAGGGAATTCTACTCCCTTCAACTCTTCAATGTAAAAGAAAAGTAGAATATATTTAACAGATGAATAATTCTTTTTATTAAACAATACTAGGGGTATTATAAGATAAAAGTTGACAACTTTTTAGATGGCTCACTTAGGATTAATTAATTATCATCAATAAACTTTAACCTTGGGATTAACTTTTATACTTAGCGGGCTCTATCGCCTTATTCAAACACTTGTAGGGTAACCTTTACTGTTCAGTGGCCATCTATTAGTCTCATGAACCAAATATTGATTTCTTAGGGGCCTCGTTGCCTGGTTACACCTACACAATGCTGCCAGAACAAGCATTAAAACGCTTTGGTATCTTCATAAAACAATTCTAATCATTTGGCACCTCAGCCTGAATGATATACAGTAGAGATATGAATGTCTGTATTTAGCCATCATCATATTACATTTTAACATCATTGAGGATGATTCCTAATTAAACATAAGTTGTAACCAATCATCAGATTCACTTCTTTTAGTGAATTGCAAATAATCCATTATTTAATAACCATTGTTAAACAATAGAATGTTAATTAACAATCTTTAAAAAGCTTACTTTATAAGCCAGAATATATATGTACCAAATTAAAATAAATTAGAGCTTAATTTAATATGAGATAGATGATTTAGTTAATTATACAAATTTTAACATATCCCCCAGTTTGACCAGATTATACAGTTCTCATGTCACGTTTGTCCATTAATACTTGGTACCAATGCTTTGTGGATGGGTTCACTGAAATGGATACACTTCATTTCAAAAAGGCATATTGTAAAACCTGAATAAATTTGGTGCATAATGATCCAGATTCTGTTTTTAGTAAACAGATACTTGTGTCAACTTCACTGATCCTAAACTGATACTTTCTAATATTTATAAGACTTTATACATATATAATAAGTCAATGGAAAACTATCAACTTTCCAGAGTATATTATAATCATTCTGTTCTCAAGTTACGTCTGTTTCCTCCTAAATTAGGGATTATTTACCTTGACATATGCAGTCCAACTTAAATCTAATATTTACTTCCTCAAGGGCATCATGGATGGTTTAATTATCTTAAACTATATCTTGGATTGAATTTAAAAAGTTAACACAGTACATAAGTTACATTATTTCAATTTCAATATTTTTTCTTTTCTTTTTATTATTCTTTGTATTTTATATGGTATATATCATTTTTAATTCTGCGCTTTTAAATCTATATTTTAACTTTCTCACCTATTTGATCATTGTTGATGTTTTTGGATGTATATTCATCTGTTGCCAATTTCAAAAACTATTAATGGCCATATCCATATTTATCCTTTTTAGAGTGGCTGTTAAAAATCTCTAATGTCATAATAGCCTCCTTATTGCCAATTTCCAATTTGGTAATAACAAGGTGATATTTTTCATCCTTAGATTGATTTTTAGCATCATATCTATAATTAGAGTTTAAATCACTTGTTGGACATACTAGAGAATGATTCTTAATTTTTTTATTGGAATTTTAATCATGGCATTTTCAGTTTTGTCTGAGATGATTCTTTATTTTGTTGGCCATTTTCATCTTGTCAAACATTTTTAGGGTACGGTTGAGTGACTTCTTTTACAATTCAGGGTCAATCACCTTCTCTTTAGTTCTTTATAATATCACACATTCCCACATATAATTTGATATAGTAAATCATCTGTTGGTTCATCCATGAACAGAGTAGAGATGTCTATTGTATTATCTTGAAGTTTATCTGGTGAAGCTTAGGTCATGCAGTTCTAGACTATTCACCATCTAGACTGCAAAACCTTTTTCCTTCTCTAGACTAAACTCTTTCTCCACTAGAGATATCACAAGGTTCTTTTAATCCTTTGTTTTCTTGCCTTAGCACTGAGCAGCATAATGACTTACATTTC